CTCGGCAACACATAAAAATGAATAAATAAAATAAATATACGCTGTCCATCTACAACCACAAAAAACAAATTAAAAATATAAAAATTCCAGACATTTAAAAAAAAAAAAAAGAAATTTGTATTCAGAGAGGTCCAGTCTCCTCTTGTCAGTAATCAATGTCTGAAGGAAATAATCACAACCTGGATAAACATATAAGCTTATAAATATGCAAGTTACAATATGCATTCCCCCTTTACTTTGGCTCTGGGGATTGAACCCAGGGGTGCTTTACACACTAAGCCACATCTCCAGTCCTTTTTATTTTTTGAGTCTTGCTAAATTGCCAAGCCTGGTCTGGAACATGTGGTCTTCCCGTCTCAGCCTCTTGAGTTGCTGGGATTTATTTATAGATGTGCACCACCACACCCAGATACATCTCCTTTTTAACCTCTCCCTAACCCTTTTTGGAACTGGAGATCAAACCCAGGACTTTGCCACTGAACTATATCCCAGCCCAAAATCCCCTTATTTTTGACAGGCGTAGAGGTGCACACCTGTAATCCCAGGGGCTCTAGAGGCTGAGACAAAAGGATCCCAAGTTCAAGGACAGCCTCAGCAATTTAGTGAAACCCCTAAGCAACTTAGTGAGAGATTCTCAAAATAAAAAACAAAAAGGGCTGGGGATGTAGCACAGTGGTAAAGCAATGTTGGGTTAAAGCTCCTGTACCAAAAGTAAACAAAAGACAAAATCCCCTTATTTTTGGTGCTGGGCATTGAACCTAGAAGTTCCCATGTGCTAGGGAAGTGCTCTACCACTGAGCTACACACCCATAGTTGCTCTTTTCCTTTAAACAAAGTCAACCAGATTCGATTCCAGGGTAAACGAGATTTGTGGGTTTGGGAGCCTACAAAAACCAAATGTGTTTTGGTTCCTTAAATAGATGTGTTGATGTATGATCACTCATTTAGTCAGGTAAGAGTATCCAGATTTCATATTCCATGCTTATTTATTTTGAAGGACTATTTTTCTGTAGTTCACTGATTATCCTGGTACTTCCCAGTGATTCTTTGATAAAGAATGTCATGTGATTGGTCTTCCTGGCACTAATGTGTAATTCATTAATATATGTGCATACTTTTTATTCTTGCAGTAATTTCTATCTCTACCACCATAGGCTTTCCATGGGCAAACCCAGCCTTTTAAAATTATTGTTTTTAAATGTACCACTTTGCTTTAAGTCTAGTGCTGAGTATCCAAACTTCCTATACATTTAAAGAAAACTTTCTTTTACAGTTAAGTGTTAAAACTTGGCATTTCCAATGTTTTACATATTTTCATTTAAACCTAGCACTTTCTTTTTTTTTTTTTTGGTACTGGAGATTTAATCCAGGAGTACTTAACCATTGAGTGACATCACCAGCCTCCCCCTTTTTTTTGAGACAGGGTCTTGCTAAGTTGCTTAGGACCTCCCCTAAATTGCTGAGACTGGCTTTGAACTTGTGATCCTCCTGTCTCAGCCTCCCAAATCGCTGGGATTACAGACATGTGCCACTACACTTGGCTAAACCTAGCACTTTCTAGAGAGGCTAATAATAATAATTTCATATAAACTGCAGATACAAATCTTAGATTTTGCATAAAAAATTAAGTGAGCTGGGCATGGTGGCACATGCATATAATCCCAGTGACTCAGAAGGCTGAGGCAGGAGGGTCTAAATTTCAAGGCAACTTCATCAGACCCTATCTCAAAATAAAAAAATAAAAAGGGCTAGGGATGTAGTTTAGTAGTAAAGTGCTCTCTAGGATCAATCCCCAATGCAAAAAAAGAATGTGAAAACAAATGTCAAATAAAAATTCTGGGGGTAAAAAAAATAGAAGCAAATATTTAAAAGCAAATGGCTGGGAATTTTCTCAAATTAAAAACAGACAAGGAACTTCAGATTCAAGTTTGTTCTGAATAACAAACAGGATAAATAATAAGCCCAGAATAATAAAACTATAGAATATTAAGGATAAAACTCCTAATAGCTAACAGATAAGATTATCAGTTATCTTCTTTTCAGGAATAGAAGGACCCACAAGACAATGAAACAATATGTTGACAATATCCAAGAAAAAACAACTTTCAATCTGGAATTTGAAACCTAGCTATCCTTGTATAGTGAGCACCAAAAATTCAGTGCATAATTTCACAGACACCGACTTAGGAGATTTAAAACTCTCTAGCAATAATTTTCCAGTGACTTAATGTGGATACACAACATAGCCCTGCTCAGTGATTGGCAAGTTGTTTCCTATCATTTAAAATAACCAGTCACTGTTTGTAAGCTCTTTCAATTAACTTTATTGAATAGTCAAATTGATAAGTTAGCACAGATCAAACGATTGTTTGCATGGGTTACAAATGACTTTTTCTTTTTTCTTTTTTTTTTTTACAGGAATAAAACAGTGAAAATTACAAACTGTAAAAAGGAAGACAAATCTTGTCTCTAACATTTCAGAGAAGCAAGATGTAACACAGCACACTGAAGATCAATACATATTTGAATTGAGAACAAGAATTGAATGTTACAATATTATATACTACTTTACAAAAGTAAAATTTCTATATAAGGATTAGATTTGTAATAGCTAACAAAATCTCAAAATCACATTTGGTGGTCCCCTAGATAATAGCTGTTATGCATCTTTGATTAGAAGAAATAAATCTTTTATTCTAATTATTGCAAAACAGTCTATTAGACTCAATACATTACATTAAATTAAAAACAATGAAGACATATGCAAACTAAAATAAATGGTACTGCTTGAGTGAATATTAGTATGTCAGACTTACAGAAACGTTATTTTAAAAATTCTAGAAATTAGAAAAATAGAGTACTTTTTATGGTAGAACTGTCATGCTCAGATTTATATACCAAGATTGCCCTTGTCTGTTACTTTAGTAGTTGTAGATCTGTAGAAAATTCAAGGATAGTTCATAATTTACAACTACAATAAAAAAAAATGGTATAGTGTAAATATTAGTTGCTTTACATCAAAAAGTAATACAAGATGATAATGGCAGGTAGTGCCTTACTGCAAAGAAAAAAAAAAAAACTAACTAAAAAACACATTCATATTGCAAAAAAATAATTGTTTTATATATCAATATTCCCAAAAGTTTCATTCATTCTCTTATTACCTGGAGAACAAATATTGTGAATCCTAACTAAAGTTATGTGTTTTTTAATGACCTGTTATAAAATTATTCTGGATTGCATGTTACACAATATTTAAAATAATTTTTCAAAGTAAATTTTTGAAATACACTAACAAAGTATGTGGTAATAACACGAGTCATATCCACTTAGGGATGTAGTGAGGCACAAGGAAGATTATCCCTAGAAGCACAAATGTTTCCTTCTGGAAGATTTTTCATTACTATTCAGAAAGAACTTATAAATGTCAAAGTTTAAAATTACATTAAATGAATAATTCATTTCTTACTTAAAATGTAAAAAAATTAATTCTTTTAAGAAACATCAGTGTGTAATGTTTCTTAAAAAGATGGGAAAATATAAATTTAATTTGCTGTAATTTAAAAATTGCTTCCTAACAAAAGAAAGAGCTTTCAAGAAACCTTCCAGTTCAATGTACCACTTGCACACTGAAAATGAATCTTTTTTTTTTTTTGCGGGAGGCGGTGGGGGGCGGGGGGCGGGGCGGGACCAGGGATTGAACTCAGGGACACTCAGCCACTGAGCTAGCTCTGGCTTAGGCTGGCTTTGAATTCAAGATCCTCCTGCCTCAGCCTCCTAAACCGCTGGGATTACAGGCGTGCACCACCGCACCCGGCTTGAAAACAAATCTTAACACTGCTTAAAGGAGATGGTATTTTCATAAACACAATTATTCTAATCCAGCTGGCAAGTAGTAGTTGTGTACTCTAGAGGGATTTGCTTCTTCCCCACACCAAACAATTCAGTTAAGTCAGCCCACATGGATGTAAACCTGAAAGTTACTATTCATTGGTGATCATGTAAGACCAAGATTGTAAACACATTTTGTAACCTATTAAAACAAAAAACCAAAAATCTTTTCATCAAGTATTATACATGTACATTATCTTTTAAGAAGTTCATACGAGACAAGATGAATCGGTGAAAACTGAGCCAAACTCTTAAAGATATTAATTATATCACAGCACTGTAAATACACAGATGTAATTTACCTGTTTGTAAACAAAATCTGCTCAGTAAGTTTTGATTATATTCTCTAGCTGAATCAAAAAAGCAGTCTTTTGAACATGTTCAGCAACCAATATATCCAATATATTGGATTTGTGTAATCTTAATATTCACCAAATCAAACAGCAGCATTCATGCTTTAATAGGTTTTAATATCCCAGAATAATAATATCCCAATTTAATTATCAAACTTCTTAGAAAAATGTTACTGATGCATTTGACATAACATTTTAGAAACCTTTAACTTCTTTCATTCATTCTCATTTCACCAAAAAAGCACTTTTATTATATATCATGGAGCAGAAATGTACCAAATAAAAGCACACCTAAAGGATCAAGATAACTAAATTTCTCATTTCCCTATTATCATTGCCAGTCCCAATATTTATGAAGACAGCTCAAATTCTTTTCATTGCAAAGAAAACAGTATGTCCAAGTCATCTGCAGCCAAATCAGAGAACCACCTAATTACATCTTTCACTTCAAATCAAAGTGATTTTGTTCTTCAAGGATAGAGAATACTGACAGATTTTAAAGCTTGAATGTGTTACTTCATATTCTTCTCAAGCTAGACTACAGTTAGTTTGCCTGTTTAATTTAACATGATGATACTTTTCCTTTCTTTAAAAATAAAACAAAACAGTATGAATTCTAGCTCTTCTACATTCTATTTACTTTTGGATTTCCCAATTGTAAAAAGATCATTATTAATGGATTCATAACTTCCCTCCAACACTTAGTCTCATGAGGTTTTAAATGTAGCAGCCAAAAACTCAGAAAAATAAAAAATATACATGTGGAACACAGAAGTCTTTATTTTACAAAATGTACTTTACCTCTATAATATCTTTTCCTTATTTCAATCTGTAACAACTTGAACATAATTGGCAACAAAGGAAAAAAGGTATCCAATCATATGTAGATATATTTTGATTTGAAAAATACAATATTTTCAGAGTTTTATGTTTGAGTCTCTTCTGTAGTCCTTTATTTGCTATAGTTTGTTGAAATCACAGTGAAAACATCTTAATCATCACATTAGTTCACAAATTTAAATAGAAAAGGAAGGTATTACACATTCCCAGGAATTCTGCTTTGTGATTTCCTTAGCAATAACTAAGTCAAATTTCTTCATTTGTTCATTTATTTACTTGTTGCTGAATATGCAAGAGGAATTCATAATATGATAATGCAGATTCTGTTCTGTCTTCTACCATGTTTTGAAGGAAGTTTGCTTTCATTGGACTTTCATCCCTTAGAAATAAAAGGCAAAAATATTTTTATATAGTAGATAAAATATAACAGTAAAACAAACAGTGGATTTCTCATAGTTTTTGACTAACTATGATAGCTATTATAATATTTGGCACAGAAACAGTGACTCTGCTTGCCTCACATGCACAAGGCCTGGGTTCTAATCCCCAGCACCACAAAAAAACAAAGCCACATCTCTAGCCCTTTTTTAATATTTTAGAAATGGGGTCTCCCTAAATTGCTTAGGGCCTTCCTAAATTGCTGAGGCTGGCTTTGAATTCCCAATCCTTCTGTTTCAGCCTCCTGAGCTGCTGGGATTACAGGTGTGCACCACCACGCCCACTACAGACTTGTTCTTAAGAATATCTGGTTGATTACGTAAACTTTATTTTTAAAAAATTCTTATTAGTTATTGATGGACCTTTATTCATTTATTTATTTATACGTGGTGTTATCGAACCCAGTGCCTCACACATGCTAGGCAAGCGCACTACCACTGAGCCACAACCCCAGCCCAAACTTTATGTTATTTAGGGGGAAAAATTTATAGTGGAATTAGGTGAAACAGTCTAGCTTTTTAATAACAAGCTCATTATAAGTCTAGTAATTCTAATCTGGTCATAAAATACAATTTGGTACCATTTATTGAAAAGATTTTTTTAATCCATTCTTTTCCTTTTAATTTTATTTTTTTATTATAATTTGTTGTATATGGCAGGAGAATGCATTACAATTCATATTACACATATAGAGCACAATTTTTCATATCTCTGGTTGTATACAAAGTATAATCATACCATTCATGTCTTCATACATGTAATGATGTCCATCTCATGAAGTATATTCACACCATTCGTGTCTCATACATGTAATGATGTCCATCTCATGCCACCATCTTTTTTATACCTCTTGCCTCTCCCTTCCCCTCCCACCCCTTTGCCCTCTTTAGAGTTCATCTAATCTTCCCATGCTTCCCCTCCTAACCCCACTATGAGTCTGCCTCCTTATATTAGAGAAAACACTCACACATGCTAGGCAAGTGCACTACCGGCATGCTACTACTCGGCATTTATTTTTTTGGGACTGGTTAACTTCACTTAGCATTATATTCTCCAACTCCATCCATTTACTTGCAAATGTCATGATTTTATTCTCTTTTACTGCGGAGTTAATATTCCATTGTGTACATATACCACATTTTCTTTCTTTATTTTAAAGAGAGAGAGAATTTTTTAATATTTATTTTTTATTTTAGTTATCGGCGGACACAACATCTTTGTATGTGGTGCTGAGGATCGAACCCGGGCCGCACACATGCCAGGCGAGCGCGCTACTGCTTGAGCCACATCCCCAGCCCCATACCACATTTTCTTTATCCATTCATCTACTGAAGGGCATCTAGGTTGGATCCACAGTTTAGCTACTGTGAACTGTGCTCCTATAAACATTGATGTGGCTGAATCCCTGTAGTATGCTGTTTTTAAGTCTTCTGGGTAGAGACCAAGGATTGGGATATTTGGGTCAAATGGTGGTTCCATTCCAAGTTTTCCAAGAAATCTCCATACTGCTTTCCATATTGGCTGCACCATTTTCAGTCCCACCAGCAATGTATGAGCATGCCTTTTCCCCCACATTCTCACCAACACTTACTGTTGTTTGTATTCTTAATAGCGGCCATTCTGACTGGAGTGAAATGAAATCTTAGAGTAGTTTTGATTTCCATTTCTCTAATAGCTAGACATGTTGAACCTTTTTTAAATATATTTGTTGATTGATTATATATCACCTTCTGAGAAGTGTCTGTTCAGCTTCTTGGCCCATTTATTGATTGGGTTATATGTTATTTTGGTGTTTACCTTTTTGAATTCTTTATATACCCTGGAGATTAGTGCCCTATCTGATGTGCAAGTGGTAAATATTTGCTCCCAGGTTCTCTATTCACCTCCCTGATTGTTTCTTTTCCTGAGAAGAAGCTTTTTTTGTTTGAATCCATCCCATTTATTAATTCTTGATTTTAATTTTTGCACTATAGGAGTCTTATTAAGGAAGTAGGGGTCTAATCTGATATGATGGAAATTGGGGCCTACTTTTTCTTCTATTAGACACAGGGTCTCTGGTTTAATTCCTTAGTCCTCAATCCACTTTGAGTTTAATGCATGTGAGAGATAGGGGTTTAATTTCATTTTGTTGCAGATGGATTTCCAGTTTTCCCAGCACCATTTGTTGAAGAGGCTATCTTTTCTCTAATGCATGTTTTTGGCACCTTTGTCTAATATAAGATAACTGTAATTATGTGGGTTAGTCTCTGTGTCCTCTATTCTGTACCACTGGTCTACTAGTCTATTTTGGTTCCAATACCATGCTGTTTGCTCTTTAGTATAGTTTAAGGTCTGGTATAGTGATGCTACCTGCTTCACTCTTCTTGCTAAGGATTGCTTTAGCTATTCTGGGTCTCTTATTTTTCCACATGATTTTCATGACTGCTTTTTCTATTTCTCTGAGAAATGTTGTGGGAGTAACTTTCAGTTTGCAACTCACAACTACGAGCAGCTCCAAGTGCTAGGAAAACTTATGCTCCTACAGGCCTGACAGGAACACCTGCAGGATGAGGCGCTCTGCTCTAGCGAGCCTCTGAGAAACCACATCCTCAGAGACTGAGGTCAGCGTTGCCAGGGAACAGAGAGACAAGGGCCTCAGGGCATGATTCCCCCAACTCATAACGCCCCCTTTTCATAGGGACAATGATCCTATCAGTCTGCTTTCCACCATGTAGCAATATTTAGAGCTTCCTCATAGTGCAGTTACATTAATCATAAGATGATTGGTTTCTAAATGTTATATAACCTGTTTGCCTTTGTATGACTGGAGGATGCGCCCATCAGTTGTAATCACTTCTGCATTAAACAAGCTTGCTGGAGGTCGGCTAAGGTCTGCCACCTACCTGCTCTCACCAGCTCCTGGTGTCTGTGTTTTGACTCCGTGTCCCCCACACCCACCACAACTGAGGTAGCCGAGTGACCCACAGCAACATCTGGCACCCAATGTCTGCTCACACCCGCGCACCTCAGGGCTGGCCCCCTATTGACCTCGGGTAGGGACCTGTTCCCTGTTCTATGTGCTGACGGTTCCTTGAAGGTGAACAAGGAACCCCTTTTCCTTGCTCTTACCCTCTTAACCCCTTTCCTTGTCCTTGTCGAGCACTGGCTCCCAAGTTGAGGCACATACCACCATAAAGGTTGGCGTCACCTTATAGCTCTTCCTTCCCCTTGTTTCACCCAGGAATTCACATAAGGGACTGATCCTCCCAGACTTTGGAACCTTGATTTTCTCTGTTAAAGAGAACTTCCCTCAGGAGACACCATATAGGCATATGGCCTTGACCTAGCAAGTCAAGGAAGTCCCCCACTAATCACAAGACACTGGATCCTAAACACACTCTTGTTTGTCCTTTCTAGGGACTTCCATGTCTGAACCATCCCCTTGGGTTCCTGTTTTTGGTATCTTGATCCTTATAGGGGGTTATTAGTGTGGCTTTGTTCATATTTGAGAGACTCCAGGAGGCCTCTAATAAGTCCACTAACCAGTCACGGGCAACATTCCCACCGTACCCCCCACAACTAGCAGTTCTGAAAGCACTGCTTTCTCAGCATGGACTTAAGGTGAAACCAAAAGACATCAATCACTTCTGGCAGGAAGCTATCTATTTAGCACCCTGGATTGGCCCCGAAAACATAGGGATCCACAAATTTGAATGAAAGTCTTATACTCTGCAAGGTAAAAGGAGGTCCATGAAGGACACATTCCCCCTGCCTCTTTAATACCGATTCTTCTAGCCATCATTGCCAGCCTTCTAGCCATCATTGCCAGCCTTCAAGGCTCTTTAGCAGAAGATATCATTCAAAAGCATAATGACTCTTTGGAGGACAAAACAATGACTCTCCAGGCCTCTGCCTCGAGTGTCATTGATTCAGATGAGGACAATGACTCGAGAAAGGATGGCTCATCTCCAAAATATTCATGGAAAGAATTACACTCCTGCTCTGAGGAGACACCCTTTAAGGCCCTCGGCCCCTTATCAACCCCCCATTCCTCTCGTAACCCCTTTTCTGCCTACCCAGTGAATCTTGGTTGCAACGCAGAAAATAGACCCTGGTACTTACTCTTTTACCAGATCTAGCATTACTGAGAAAGGCTTCTCAGGAGTCTGAGCCTAGCTCTCCTTACTTTGAGGAGGTGTAAAAGCAATGGTCAGCTCAATTACAAACATCCTTTGATTGGATGAACCTCCTCAAGGAATGTTTAACTTGTCCACAATATTTACAGTGGAAAGCTCCCTTCGAGGAGGAGGCAGAACAAATAGCAAGAAGCAACCTCTCCTATGACATCGCCATCACCCTAGACATGTTGACTGGTCACGGTGCCTATATGAGTCCTCAAGAAAAATCCAGAATTGGAAATGTCATTTACTTTAACCTGAAGAGTCTTAAAAACATTACACCTCCAAAATATGAACTCTTCAGAAACCCGATCCAGAATCCCCATTGAGTGGTTTCCTGACTTTTTGTCCAGAGTCATTGAGGCATCCCGACCTGGCCCTATTCAAGATTCGCTAGTCAAACAGTTGGTATGGGAAGGGGCTACAGCCGAAACTAGGGCTACAATTGCCCCCCGTCCACAGTGAATCCCTCTCTAAGTGGATTTCTGCTACTAAAGAAGTATCCCCTTTCTCGGGGCCCATTCAGGCTTTAACAGCTGCTATCAACAAGCTACTAATAAAAAAGAACAATGGACCTTCCCAACCAAGATCTGATCCCATTTGCTGGGGCTGTAATCAGCCAGGCCACATTAAATGGTACTGTCCCAAGAATGCAGCCACCCTGGCCCCAAGACACCCTGCCCTAGATGCAAAAAGGGTTATCACTGGGCAAAGGACTGCAAACTCTGGCCTTTAAACTCCCCTTGGGGCAACTCTCAGCCCCGCCAGTAAGAGGGAACAGACG